TAGCACGGATAGCACTGATTGGCTAAAGTCCGCCACTTCTCATCATCGCGCCTGGCGATTGGCGGAGTGAAGAGGTGCCGCAAGGTGAAGGGGGTGTGTAGAGGGAGCAAAATGGCGGCGGCCGGAGGGGGGGAGTGATGGCGGCGGTTGAGGACTGTGGCGCCGGGCGCTGACGGGCTCCGGCTTCCCCGCGACCACCGGGCCGGGGCTCTCTGGCCTCGCTTCCCCGTGTCTAGGTCTGCGCCGGGCACCGGTAGGGCAGGTTCCGGCCCTGGGCCTGCCCCGGTGAGAGTCGCTGGACCCCGCGGGGTGCGGTCAGGGAGCGTCGGGGCGGCTGTGACCGGCGCTGGGGGGTCGTAACCCGAGTCCGGATTAACTCCTCGCTGCCACCGGCAGGGCAGGTTCCGGCCCTGGGCCTGCCCCGGTGAGAGTCGCTGGACCCTGCGGGGTGCGGGCCGGGAGCGCTGGGGCGGCTGTGACCGGCTCTGGGGTGTCGTAACCCGAGTCCGGATTAACTCGCTGTTGGCTGCTCGTGGGCCCGGCCGCTGTTGGTTTCCCGTGTTAATTTGGATATTTCTTTCCAAGGTGCCGCTCTGCTCTCGGGTGACCGGTGCGCGGGAGCCTCGGGGTGAATTCCGCTGGACCGAGGGAGCATCTCTCGCCCGGGGCTGCGGGGATGGAGCCGCTGCCCGAGCTCTACGCCATCTTCCAGGGGGAGGTGTGTGAGGCTGCTGCCCGGGAGGCGTCACCGCCTGCGCCGTGCTGCTTTCCCTCTTCAGTTTGTTGCTTTAGGCTCGGCTCAGTTCACTGAATTTCACTGAATTTTAGAGTTGGAAGGGACCATAGAGATCATCTAGTCCAACTCCCCTGCTGAAGCAGGATTGCCTAGAGCTTGTCAGAGCATGTTACTCAGGAGCATCCAGGTGGGTCTTGAAAATCTCCAAAGAAGGGGACTCCACACCCTCCCTGGGCAGCCTGTTCCAGGGCTCTGTCACCCTCACCGTGAAGAAGTTTCTCCTCATATTTGAGTGGAACCTCTTCTGTTCCAACTTGTGCCCGTTGCCCCTCGTCCTGTCACTGGGAACCACTGAAAAGAGTCTGGCTCCCTCCTCCTTCAACCCTCCCTTGAGATACTTGTAGGCATTGAGAAGGTCTCCCCTCAGCCTTCTCTTCTCCAGACTAAAGAGCCCCAGCTCTCTCAGTCTCTCCTCATAAGGGAGATGCTCCAATCCTTGAATCATCTTTGAGTCAGTTCAGTGGCAGTTTGTGTAACTGACAGTTCTGTTCCACGTATACACGCATATATACCTGTATCTGGAGACTGGAGATGAGGAGAGGGTTCTTCACTGGGAGGGTGGTGGAGCACTGGAACAGGTTGCCCAGGGAGGTGGTTGAGGCCCCATCCCTGGAGATATTCAAGGAGAGGCTCGACGAGGCCCCGGGCAACCTGGTCTAGTTGGGGGTGTCCCTGCTGACTGCAGGGGGGTCGGACTAGATGGCCTTTGGAGGTCCCTTCCGGCCTGGGCAATTCTATGATTGTATGATCTATGTGTTTATTTATATGTAAGATGCTGATCTGACTAGTGTAGGAGTGATTGGCTGAGCACACGTACCCCGAAATATCAAGCATTGCAGTGTCTGACCTGCCCTGAAATTTAGAACTGAAGGAAAGCACAACTGTGTAATCTTTCTGTGCATGTTGTTGCCCCATCCCTGGAGGGGTTCAAGGGCAGGTTGCAGGGGGCTTGGAGCAACCTGGGCTGGTGGGAGGTGTCCCTGCCCAGGGCAGGGGGTGTCACTGGGTGGGCTTTAGGGTCCCTTCCAACCCAAACCATTCTGTGATTCTAACCTGTGGTTTGTGAAGGGCTTTGCCTCACATGTTGCACTGATTTTCTCCCCAGGTTGCCACAGTGACAGAATATGGAGCATTTATCAAAATCCCAGGCTGCAGGAAGCAAGGTTTGTTTCTCTCATTTTGTTCAGACGTTGTTTCACGTTGGCATGTTCAAGCCAACCAGTCACCCTTGGAATTAAAGGCTTGCTAGCTTTTAGAAAAAGCTCAGGAAAAGATGGGTTTTTTCGTAAGTTATGAATAAATTGAGGTTCTCAGAAAGTATTTAGAATACGATGGTATGTTTGCACAAATATGACAAGGACTTAGAGGGCTGCAGGATACACCCTTGGAATTAAAGGCTTGCTAGCTTTTAGAAAAAGCTCAGGAAAAGATGGGTTTTTTCGTAAGTTATGAATAAATTGAGGTTCTCAGAAAGTATTTAGAATACGATGGTATGTTTGCACAAATATGACAAAGACTTAGGGGGCTGCAGGATATTTTAAGGGAGTCATTTTAAGGGAGTCATTTTAAGGGAGTCATTTTAAGGGAGTCATTTTAAGGTATTGGAAGAGCTATAGAAACTTCCTACAGTTAGGTAATTTGCCCAACCTACTGCTTTTATGACTGATACAAGTGAAGATCAAATAAAAAAAAAAAAGAAAACCTGACTGAAAGGTCCCTCTATGTTTGTGGGAAACGTGCAGCTGAACAAACTCATTTTATAGCAGCAGCAGCAGCACAGGGTGGCTGTTCTGCCAGGTGCTGGTAGCCCCACAAATGACCCCTTCTCTGCTCTCCTCTTAAAGTGCCCGGTCACTCTAGTGCCAGTTGTAATAAGAGTTTGTGGACAGAGGTGTGGCTGCTGGAGGGGAGTTGCTTTGAGACCCTGAAATGGGCTTGAACAACAAGGTGTGTTTCCGTATTTATCCTCCCTTGTGTCATCCTGTCACCCACGTGTCACTCGTGCAAATTAAAAATACAATCTTGGGGCTGTGTCACCTTGTGATTGCAGGGGATCAGGGCAGCCTGGGCGTTTCGTGCTTCTGACTTTGCCAGCAAGTTATTGTGCTGCTGATGCGTGAAATGGGCTCTTCATTCTCCAGTGCCTGGGGCAGGAAGGGAGAGGTGTTAGTGACTGCAACGATTTCTTGTAGCAGGCACTAACACGTCTCATATTTTGGGTAAAAAATGGGGGCCCTGCTTCTCTGAATTAATTTGGAGCTGATCTTGTTATGTTTGATTGATGCAACTAGTTGATTCTCACCTGCATAATGTACTGGAGGAAGGAAACGGTTAGTTTTGCTTAGGGCAACTGCTGAATGTGTTCCCTGTCCCCCCAGGCAGTGGTCTCCAAACGTTTTTGATTGTTTATGGGCAATTAAAATCAGTTAACCCTATCAGTTAAACATTTTTTGAGCACACGCTCCTCAGCGTGTGTATATTTATTTATAAATTATATAATGTATACTACTGTCCTAATGTGATGTACCTTATAAACACACTCAAAAATAGAAATCAAAAAAGAGGACTAAAGATGAAATAAACACTATTAATTTTTTCAAGCATTTTATTTATTAATAGTACAAAAATAATGTCTTTCCATTATCTGCCCCAAAGGATGGTCTCGCATCCACCCCACTTTGGGGACTGCTGTGCTAAGGGCAAAACTGACATTCAGGGGAGATTTATCTTTACGTTTTGCCTTTCTTCTCTTCCAAACCCGTGACCAGGCCTTGTCCATAGGACTCACATGTCCTCCTGCCGTGTGGACAAACCCTCTGAGATAGTAGATGTTGGAGACAAAGTGTGGGTGAAGCTTATTGGAAAAGAGGTAATGTTAATTCTTTTATTGCTGTGTAGATAAAACAGGCTGCAGAACTGCTGGGAGCTGCTGCACACAGAGGCTGCGTGTTCCTGTTGCTTTGTTGGGGTTTGATGGGCTCTGGTTTTGGTGGGGGAATTCTCTTTACCCCCCAGATGTGACTTTGGGCTCATGGCTTCTGTGACTTGACACAAGGCAGTTCATAAAAGCTTTTGGCTTCAAAGCAAAACGCTTCCCTTTCATCCCCTGCGCATCCCTCGCAGGGATCACCCTCACTGGGGGATTTGGTGGCTAAATGGGTGATGTGAGAGGATCCCGAGGTAAGAGCTGATACAAACACAGCTCACTAACTGTTTTGAGAGACAGGTGTGTTCTTAGAAGCTGAGATTTATGTTTATTTTCAAGAAAGTACCAGTGGGGGTGAATTATGCCAAAGAGAAAATACAGAGGCTTTTTGTTTCTTTGTTTTGTAAGAGCATGATGGATTTCCCTTCCCTCCCTACAATCTACATTGCCTTTTCTGAGAATCATAGAATTGTCTGGGTTGGATGGGACCTTTAGGATCATCCAGTCCAACTATCAACCTAACTCTGATAAAAACCATCACTAAACCATGTCACCAAGCACTATGTCAACTTGGCTTTTGAATCCCCCCAGGGATGGTGCCTCAACCACTGCCCTGGGCAGCCCATTCCAAGGCTTCAGAACCCTTTCAGGGTCAAAATTGTTCCCAATATCCAATTGATTTTGAATCCCCCCAGGGATGGTGCCTCAACCACTGCCCTGGGCAGCCCATTCCAAGGCTTTATAACCCTTTAAAAGTTGAGGCCATTTCCTCTTGTCCCATCACGTGTTAGAGACCGACTCCTTTCAGGGAGTTGGAGAGAGCCAGAAGGTCTCCCCTCAGCCTCCTTTTCTTCTGCAGAAAGAGCACATCATCTGTATTTAAAGATCACTTGGAACAAAAACTAAAGACTCTTGCTTTGGTGAGCCGTGGAGACAAAGCAAGCTGACTGGATTTTGTTGGGTTCAAGGTGGAGGTGTTCAGTTCAAAGTTGCACAGGATTTTGCCATAAAGGCAAAAGAAAGAAGATAATAAAGTTGGTTTACAAAACATGGATTCATTTTGTGTGAGATAAGGGAAACAGATTGAGAAACTTTATCTTATTTACAAAGTGTAGGAAAAACTGTATGAAAGTTTTTATAGCTTCTTTTTAGCCATCTGTGATGTGCTTTTTGAAATTTTGGGGTTTTTTTCAATATAAATTTTTATTAAGCCACTGTTTTCTTTGTCTGGAACACAGTTGTTGGGTTCCTGCCTTCCTTGTTTTAGAGGCAAGGGGCAGAGGAGTTTTGGAGAGGTGGACAGCGGAAGGCTTCATTGTTAGATATCCTGTAAATAGCTGCTTAGATGTCATAAACAGCAAAAATAGAAACATCTTCAATAGCAGCATGGGTGAAAATGCAGAAAGTTGTTGGAAAGACTTAAAAAAAAAAAACAACCCAAAACCCAAATATTCAACTTTTGCTCTTGCTTTTAAAGTGATAATGTGGCAATCAAGGACTTAAGGGCTTACTCTTTTTTGAATCCTACTAATAGAGACACACTAAACATTTTCAGTCTCCCAAGGGGATCAAAATGGGGAAAAAAAGGATATAAAGTATCATTTTTCAGGGTTCAAGTCAGCAAAGTACTGGTCCAGGGAACTGCCGTGGGGGTGGATTATTTGAAAATTGCAGCAAAGCTTCCAAACATGCACTTGGGTTTGGCCATACCAAAAGCAGGATATTGGCCTGAAGGGACCTATAGTTTGATCTTGTCTTATTACGGAGGTAGCTGCTCAACAGAAGCTATTTTATTAGCTGGGATACTCTAAAATGTAAATGCAGCTGTGAAATAATAGAAGAAAAGCACCTTCATGTAGTGTCTTTTGTAGTGCTGCTCTTGGCTGTCTGACAGTTCCTTCTCTGTAGGCCTCCAGACACGGTGAATCGATGAACTTACTCTTCTCATTCCATCTCTTTCAGATGAAAGATGACAAGCTGAAGCTTTCCCTCTCCATGAAAGTCGTTAACCAAGGCACAGGAAAAGACCTGGATCCCAACAACGTTTCTCTTGAGTGGGTAAATCTCCTGAGGGGAATATAACAGAGCAGACAGGTGGCTACTGCCCGCTTTGCCCTGCATTCCTGGCTTTCCTGCCATCCTTTTCCAGGTGCCCCTCCTTTGGAGGGTGAGGGGGGCTCAGAAAGCCCCCCAGTGATGCTCTAGCTGGCTGGGGGGGCAATTGAAGGCACTGCTGTGGTTACACTCCCCAGAGGCAGGCAGGAGCCAGCGGGGGGGCTGCAGGGGGCTCCAGCCCTTCACACTGCGACGTGGTTCTCACTCCTGTGTTGTGAGGCCCAGTGCTTGTGCTGGGAGGACTCTCCAGGATCTTAAAGGAACCTGTAGGAGAGCTGGGGAGGGACTCTTTGTCAGGGAGGGGAGCCATAAGATGAGGGGTAATCGTTTTAAATTGAAAGAGGGAAGATTTAGATTAGATACCAGAAATAAATTCTTTGCTGTGAGGGTGGTGAGAGCCTGGCCCAGGTTGCCCAGAGAAGCTGTGGCTGCCCCATCCCTGGAGGGGTTCAAGACCAGGTTGGAGGGGGCTTGGAGCAACCTGGTCTGGTGGGAGGTGTCCCTGCCCAGGGCAGGGGGGTTGGAACTCAATGACCTTTAAGGTCCCTTCCAACTCTAACCATTCTATGGTTCTGTGATTTGTTCCAGCTGGGATTTGTCTCACTCCCACATGCTACAAAATCAAACCCTAACGGCTTGGGTATTCCAGAACTTCCTTGTTTACCTTTTTGTTTGGTGATATCTCTTGCAGGTCAAATAAAATTGCTTTATTTTCATACTGGGGAAGTGTATGTATGTGTGTATAGTTGCATACAAAAAGCAGATGTTAGTATGAAGGACATAAGTGCAGCTCCCTGCATTTGTCTGTTTTGTGTAGAGAGTGCTTGGTTAATCTCAAAAGTAGAAATGACAGGTAAATACACTGTTAACGATGTGGTTTATCCTAATGAGGAGTTGGGCACCTCCATTCATTGTTTTAGCTGATTAAGTGATGTTTTCAGAGCAACGTTTGAAAGAAACCTGCCTTTAGGTTGTGCCCATATAAATATACAGGGTTAAAGATGCGAGTGGTTTGAAAATGGGGCTGTCCTTCTCTTTCCAGTCAGGATGAGAGGAAAAAGCGCATGTTCAGAGACTACACCAGCCAGAAGATCACACTGGAAGCTGTTTTGAACACTGTGTGCAAGAAATGTGGCTGCAAAGGTACGTCCACGCAGCGGTGTCCTCTTCTGATGCAACCTTGTTCTAACCAGATACTGACCTGTAGTACTATGGCTGGGTGTGAGGACTGAATCTTGCTTCCACGTGTCTCTTTTAGAGGAGAACTACATTTTCTGTCACTTGTTACGAAAAGGAAAGGCTTAACCCATCTCCTCTTGTAAAGGTTTGTTTCTTAAAATCCCATCCCTTTGAGCTTCCTGCGAAGTACCTTCCTACTGAGCACAGGGTCAGTCCAGGGTCCCTTCCTGCAGGATTGGTGTTTGAGTGTTGTAGCTGAGTTTTGTTCCAGTTTTGCATTTTAAGAAACAAAAAGACTTGAGTTGCCCAGAACCTACCCTGTAAAGGTTTGTTTCTTAAAATCCCATCCCTTTGAGCTTCCTGCGAAGTACCTTCCTACTGAGCACAGGGTCAGTCCAGGGTCCCTTCCTGCAGGATTGGTGTTTGAGTGTTGTAGCTGAGTTTTGTTCCAGTTTTGCATTTTAAGAAACAAAAAGACTTGAGTTGCCCAGAACCTACCCAATAAATTCATATTTGTGCCTTGATGTTCTCACAAGTGATGAATGAGAGCAAAGAGAATATCTGTTCCCCTTAATCTCAGCATCAGGGAAAGCAGCATCGAGGAAGCAGCTCTTTCTGGGCTCATTTTCTCTCCTTGGACACATGTAGAACAACCTACAAAAATAAAGAATATTCACTATAAACAACGTAACGTTCAGCTCCGGTGGGAAGGTGCATGTTCAGCTTGACCTTGCAGAAAATGTGCATATAATAGGGAACACTGCAGAAATAAATATATGCCTTCACCAGATCATTTCATTCTAAAGAGCCATCAGTGGAAAATTAGGGAACACGGTGTTGGATTGTGAGTAGCATCTTACAGCTCAAAACAAGCGTTTGTGTGTTGGATTTTTTTTAATCTGAGGAAAAGTTCCTGTTTTGCCCAGTCCAGCAATAGGAAGTTGGCTTATGGGATGCCTTTTCAGTAGCTTTTTGCAACTTGCTGAGGCATAAAGTAGGTTTTTTTTGTACGTGGAGTTTTTGGTGCAGCCTATTTGTCGTGTGTCACTTAGCCCTAGAGTGACCAGTTAGGCTGGAGTTCATGCTGTTTGGGAGAAGGTTGGTAACGACTGTGGATCTCTGTAGTGGTAGATAACTATCTTTAAAATACCATTTTAAACAACCCCCAGAGCTTCCAGCTGGATTCTGCATATTTCCAGTCTGCTTTTTACTGATGATGTCTACCTGGATAGATCTGTTTGCCTGACAGAGCTGCTGTTTCCACTGTAACTGTTGGTGGGGCAACTCTGATGTCTCCAGAGTAGAAAATGTAGAACCAGAGGGAGCTGATTTCCTCTCTATTTGTGGGTTTGGTCTCTTTTCCCAGGTGCCTTTCACACCAACTCCCTTTCCCATACACTTCCCTGCTGTTTAAGCCCTTGTGCAGACACATTTCTGCCACTTGCCTTTGTTCAGACACGAGTGTTTTAGTTCTGACCTGACTGATCTTTCCAGAACACCCCGGGTTGTGTCTGCTTCCCTGTTTAATCAGGGCATGCTAAATGAGCTGAAATAAAAGGTCAAAAAAATGTACAGTGTAGATTCTCTTATTGTAACTAATAATAAAAATATCATTGGGGCACTTTAGGTGTCTGAAAGACAGTTATTTAAATAAAATAAAAAAGGGGTTGATGGTGTGGATTGTTCCTTCCAACACTATTTTACAGGACATTTTGCCAAGGAGTGTTTCGTGCAGCCTGGAGGGACCAAATACAGCCTCATTCCAGAGGAGGAGGAGGAAGAGGAGGTGGCAGCAGCAGGATGTGAAAAGGATAAAAAGACCAGCCTGGCTGAGGATTCTTCAAAAAAAAGGAAAAAGGTAGGAGGTGCCCCTCTGCTGGCCTGGAAAAGGGAGCCAGATATAGTTATGTCTGTGACTTACTGCAGTGCTGTGGTTGTGAGGAGCCGGTTCTGGGCTGAGGAAGTGGCTCAGTTTCGTGCAGGGTCTGTAGCAAAAGCAGGAATCTCCTCTGCAGACTTTTTAGGTAACTCTTATCCTTTCTCCCTGTATTCCTGCTAAACTGCCTTTAAGATGGTTTTGTGCTATGATGCACAGTCTCAAAAGATATTCCTTACAGTGAGAAGAGGGTTGGTTGGTTTCTATTTATTTTTTGGGGGGGGCTTTCTGAGGCTCTATAGAAATTGCTTCAGTTTCCTGAATTTCTGTGGTTCTTGCCAATAACCTCTTTCCCCTCCCTTTTTGCTGCTCTTGCCCCGACACCTTTCTTTCATCTGAACTCAATGCCCCACTGCCTTGCTAAAGGGGGTGTCCTGACCCAGCCAGTGCCATGGGACTGGGCTTATCTGCGTGTGGCGGGGGAAAAATTGCTGTTGTGTTTGCACAGGGACCGTGCTCCACTTCCAGGCACTACAGCAATTTTTCTCTCTGTGAAAATGTCAAGAGATAAGGGACCTTTTATGTCCCGTGTTTGAACGCTGGCTTCGGAGCGGGCTGATGTAAAATGGGGGGTAGGGGGGGGACCTGAATCAGGAGTGTTTGGTGGTCAGGCTGATAATACAGCAACAAATATTCCAGTTCTAGACTTCAGTAAATAAACTGTTTCATCAGCCCCTTCCCAACTGGAGTCCAACTTTGATTAGATTTCCACAGCCTTTTTTGGGTTGGTTTTCGTTTTTTTTTTTTTCCTCCTTTCTTTTGACTTTTCTTTCTCTTTCTAACTCCATGGCCTGTCTGTATCCCCTTTTTTGGGTTGGTTTTTTTTTTTGCTCCTTTCTTTTGATTTTTCTTTCTCTTTCTAGCTCTATGGCCTGTCTGTGTCCCCAGAGAGGGACGACAGGCAGGAGAGGTGGTGGGTTTGTGTGTCAGGGGAAGGATGTTGTAGGCAATTGCACAGTGAGAAGTAGCTTCCCAGGGCTTGGCTCCCCCGGCTCGCTGTGGAGATGAACCAGTGCCAGCACTGGTGGGAGGGACTGTGAGCACTGGGAACAGGGAACGGAGGGGTGTGTTTTGATGGCAGCACTCGGGGCAGTCCAGGGTGACACCAGTAGCTGAAGTCTCACTTCCAGTCAGGTTTTCCACTGGTGATCTGGTTTATGGCACTGTGTCAGGGGAAGGATGTTGTAGGCAATTGCACAGTGAGAAGTAGCTTCCCAGGGCTTGGCTCCCCAGGCTCGCTGTGGAGATGCACCAGTGCCAGCACTGGTGGGAGGGACTGTGAGCACTGGGAACAGGGAACGGAGGGGTGTGTTTTGATGGCAGCACTCGGGGCAGTCCAGGGTGACACCAGTAGCTGAAGTCTCACTTCCAGTCAGGTTTTCCACTGGTGATCTGGTTTATGGCACTTTGATGCGCTCTTATTTGAGCAGGAGGGGAGTAGCTGGGGGGGATTGGAGGAAGGGACAGCACTGCAGTAGAAGAGCCAGGAGCATAGTTGTTTCTCCCCTACAGCCAGTACAAAATGAAGTCAGCATTAATTCCACATCCAATCTCCAGCTTTCTGTGCCCAGTAACGCTCTGGCTCTCCATCCAGCTGTGAGAATGGGATCTCTTCTGGCTGTAGATGCTGTTGCCTGGTTCCACCCCGAGGTGTGCTCTGCTTCCCCACTGCATGGCTTCTCACTCCAGAGTATCATAGGATCATAGAGTTGCCCAGGCCGGAAGGGACCTCCAAAGGCCATCTAGTCCGACCCCCCCGCAGTCAGCAGGGACACCCCCAACTAGACCAGGTTGCCCAGGGCCTCGTCGAGCCTCTCCTTGAATATCTCCAGGGAAGGGGC